TAGAGAAACTTTATTGTTGTTTTTGTAGCAATAAAGCTCAAACAGGGAGCCAAACCACGCTTCACCAGTTCTTCCCAGTGCTACGATGGGTGCAGAAAAATGGCTCAAGTGTGCGCATGATTGAACTGTAAGCTGAAGTTATTTCTGCTGGGTGAAGAAAGTACTGTATTGGGGGAAAAGAAACAGGAGTTGTGTTTGTGGTTTGTGTGAGAGTGTATGTAGCGTCACAACGAACTCCTGCAGCCAACAAGCGTTTTGAACATAGAGGCTGTGCTTTCTTGTTTCATCGGAAATTGTGAATGTTGCGCATTTTTTAAAGTGTTGTCTTGTCTATTTACCCCCTTTCCCTTCTCTGTTGTGAGCCGACCGGAGTCCTCCGGGAATGGGCGGCATACAAGACAAATAAAATGAAATGAAATGAAATCCCAAAATATTTAGAGTGGACTGTGTTTATTTGATCCAGTGAGACCCTTAATTCATATCAGATTTCTTTTGAGATTTCTTAATTCATATCAGCTCTCTTAATCTAAATCAGATTTGGGTTATGTGGGAAAACAGGGATGTTTCTAAACTGTGAACATGGTTTTCGTTCTGTGCATTCTTCCTGTAACAAATAATTGGAGAATCTCTGCCAACAAACTTACAATGTTGGGTTAGAGAGGTCAATTAAAGACAGTTTCCTGAGTTTTGAGGGAGAAGAACAGTTAAAAAACGCAGCTTTTGTATTCTCAAATTTTATTCACCTTTCTTCCCTTATCTCGCTTCTTCAGAAATTGCCAACATGATTAAAAGATCAGTTTTCGGCAACTTCCTTTTGTCCCCTGGAACCTTTAATCAGGCAGGCCATTAGTTGGTAATTTTAACCTCTCCCTCTTCAGCCTTTCCTTCTGCAACAGAACCTGGGAGGTTTTGTTCTCTCCGTCTGAGAAATTCCACGCTTTTTTTTTACCAGAAAGAGCTGAAATGCTTCATAGAAGCATGCAAAAGGCCCGGCCTTTATTTGCAAAAAACAATTGATTTCATTTTTTACTATTAATGTGATGGAATTCGGGGGCATCTTGTGCCAAGCTCAAAGCAATGAAAATGAGAATTAGGTTAAAACTCTCCCAGGGAAATCTGAACCCTACAGTTAATATTGACTTAAGTCTTGACAAAACATTAGCTTGTGTTTGTTTTGATGTCAAGATCTGGGCCTGGAAGCCATCTGTCTTGATTACTGATCAATAAATACTGGAAGGAGAGCAAGGCTTCATATTGGAAGCAGCTTAGATATTGTGTTGGGAGGAAGGGGGTACGTTAGTGAGTTTGCTGGGGGGTTCTCAAGATCTGATTCTCTAATGATTGATTGGTCTGTGCCATCACTGTCAGTCTGTAAGTAGAGACCTTCACATTTCTAGATTCTATCGTATCTCAAGACCTAAAATGGACACCTAACATCAAAAACGTCATCAAAAAAGCACAACAAAGAATGTTCTTTCTGCACCAACTCAGAAAGCTCAAACTGCCCAAGGAGCTTGTTATTCTGAAAGGACAAAGATATCAAATGGCCCAACCAAGGGTCATCTTCAATACTTTGTCCCATCAAACTCTTTCAGTTTGGATCGGAAAGGCCCAACCTAACTAGCTGCTCTAGGTCAGAACCATCTTCCTCCATCCTCTATTCGTTTGTTGAACAAACACTGAAATTAGAATGGTATTTAGGGTTTCACCAACGTTTTGAGCAACTCCTCATCTGGACCTTAACTAGAGAAACTTTATTGTTGTTTTTCTAGCAATAAAGCTCAAAGAGGGAGCCAAACCACGCTTCACCAGTTCTTCCCAGTGCTACGATGGGTGCAGAAAAATGGCTCAAGTGTGCGTATGATTGAACTGTAAGCTGAAGTTATTTCTGCTGGGTGAAGAAAGT